CCCCCCCAATAAAAAAAAAAAAAGATTGACAATTCTAATTGACTTGGGTCTTTTCTAAATGTTTTCAAAGGAATGAAGACATTGAGCTGATTCTCTCAGAAAATAGTTTTTCAAGTCCTCAGATGCTGCGATCCCGATATTTAATGTACCCTGGCTGGCAAGTATCATTACGAAGTAGCTAAAATTTCTTTGGAAGCCTAACAATCTGTTTATTTACAGAAAAAAAAAGAGAGAAAAAAATGAACATATCAGATATGCTGTACACAAGTGATACATATTTATTGGAATGGTCTGCCATGTCCCAGATAGTGTTCTTGCTGAGAGCCCAATATTTCATGTCTTGAGATCTAAACTGGAAGCCTTCCTAGATATTGAGATTTAAGGCACCTATCTTGCAGGCATCAAGCACAACAGGATTCTGTATTTCTTCTGGCCACTAGTAAGGGTGAGGTGACTGGCATGGAACATTACAACTTCCCAGGTGAGAGAATCTCTCCTGAGAGTAAGTCAGTCAGTCCTCTACTTCCCAGCTGACAGGTAGGTTCCCTACTGATGAGGCCAGAGCTTGTTTTCTACAAACTATATGTCAGCCTGAGAACCTCTGCAGAGGGGAAAGGAGGGAAGAGAGTGTACAAAGTCCACCATAATCATAGTAATACCAACATAACGTGAGAACTCACTGTGAGTGCTAGGCCTTGTTCTAAGACTGCACTTTCCAATGTGGCCACCACTAGCTATGTGACTATTTAATGTAATACAAATATAAATGAATAAAAATCGAAATTTATAATTCAGTCTTTTAGTCACACAATCACATTTCAAGTGTGCCAAAGCTGCCTGTGGTTAGAAGCTATCATATGGGACATTGTGGATCCAGAACATTTCCATTATTCCAGAAAGCTCTGTTGGGCAGTGCTGCTCTGAAAACTTTGCCTGTGTTGTGTCATTTAACCTTTACACCAAACCTACAAAATGGATTCCATTATTTTCCACATTTTATAGGTATAGACAACAAGGAACAAAATGACTTATTTAAAAGTTATAGTTAGTAAATAACAGAGTTGGATTGCAAACCCAGGTTGTCTGGCTTCCAAGCCTTGTGCTATACCTGTTCCTATACAGAATGGGCAGTTCATTTATGCTCTATTGAAAGTTTGGGGAAGACAATGTTAGAGCTTTGTCTGGTTTATCTTTGTTATCTTTACTCACTTTTCCCAGGCCCTCAATTGTTTGTACTAAAACTGATTGTACTGTGCTACAAAGAAAAAAAAGTGTGTGGGGGGGTGCAGCTCGGCCTGGTGGCACATACCAGTGATCCCAGTGACTCAGGAGGCTAGAGTAAGAGGATTGTAAGTTTGAGGCCAGCCTCAGCAATTTAGCAAAATGCTGAACAGCTTAGTGAGATTGTCACAAAATAAAAAGGGCTAGTAGTAGAGAATCCCTGGGTTCAATCCCCAGTACTACAAAATAATAATAATAATAATAGGCTAGCATGGTGGTGCACAGGAGGATCACAAGTTCAAAGCCAGGCTTATCAACTTAGCGAGGCCCTGAACAACTCAGCAAGATCCTTTCTGTAAATATAATATAAAAAAAATGGGCTGGGGATGTGACTCAGTGGCTAAGGGCCTCTGGGTTCAATTCATGATAACAAACAATAATAATAATTATTTTTTTAAATAAGGTAACTCATATGGTAACTATACAAATAAAGGTAATATAGTTATCTAAATATGATACGATACGATAGATGAGGAGAAAGTATTTGCATTACATGTAGCAAAGGTATAATACAATATTTGGGAAACTTGGTTAGATGTTTAGAAAAGGACCAGGAAGGGTAGCACACACCTATAATCCCAGCAACTCCAGAGGCTGGGGCTGGAGAATCACAAGTTCAAGGCCAGCCTTACCAATTTAGCAAGGCTGTAGGGCATTTAATGAGAACCTGTCTTAAAATAAAAAAATAAGAAGGGTTGGGGGTGTAGCTCATTGGGAGAGTGCCCCTCGGTTCAATCCAGTTCCAAAAAACAAAACAAAACAAAAAAGACCCCAGGTCATATAGATGAGAACAGTTCACTTAAGAGCAAGTGTAAATAGCAATCATGGAAACAGAATTCAATGTCAATAACATTCAGAAATGTTAAATGGTATATAGTATATAACAACACTCAGAGACCCAAGTACTTGTACTCAATTTTGATTGACACTATATTCAATCAAAAATACTTATAATACTTATTATAATATTCATCTCCTGAGAAATTGTTGTGAAACTAGTATACTTGCCTGCTGCTGGGGGTGGTATAAATTTTTACTCATGCACCCTTTGCTGGAGTGATTCCAGTCATGGGGATTCATTTCAAGGAAATAATTCAAAAGAAGGACTAACAATTCCTCAACTGTGGAAGCAAGTAATGAGTACATAAGGCCTCATTATACTACCATAGTTCTACCTTTTTTTGTGTTTGACATTTTCCATATTAGAAAGTTAAGGTTTTTTAATACTGTGGATATGACCACATATTCGTAAAAAAAAAAAAAAAGCTACATACCAGCCCTTTTTAGTTTTTGAGAGCGGATCTCTCTAAATTACCTGGAGTGTCCTCAAATTTTTAATCCTCTGGTCCCAGCCTCCCCAGTAGCTGGGATTATAGGTGTGGGACACCATACCCAGATGAATCTGTGACAGGCACTGTGTCTGCTGAACTGAGAAAATAGAGCAGAGATGCTCCAGCCTGTCATTTCCTTTTAGAGAAAATATTAATCCACATGTGCAGTCTGTTAAGCTGCCCGCAAGAAGATGGTAGGGCATGGTTAGAGCCCTGCAGGGGCTGGGGGAGGATTTAAACAATTAAACATTTAAACAATTGTTTTATATTTAGAATGGCATACAAGTAAAGGAGAATTAAATATTATAGGATAAATGATATACAGTTTATCCCAAAGTAGTATATAACAACACTCAGAGACCCAAGTACTTGTACTTAAATTTTTCTTAAACATTTAAAGGTATGAAGGTAAATTCAATTCTGGATCAGTCTTCCCACTGATGGTTCAGATCTGCGTATGGTTTGGCCGTCCCTTGGAGAAAACTCGCTTTGTGGCCAAGTGTAAAGGTGAGCCTTGGCTGGGACATCTCCCAGACCCTGGTGAAAAGAGTACCCCAGACTGTCCTGCTTCCTCGCACCATTTCAGTATCCTATGTGCTGTCTTTTCACATTTGTGACCAAAAGCAGCAGAGGGATTTGAGGACTCAGGAATCCCCTATTTCTGATCTTGTGACGCCATAAAATTTGATCTCCACTCCATTGGAAAAGTTTTCCCATCCTTGGAAATAGTGGCAGAGCCCGAGGAAAAAGAGGGTGGGGATAGAAGCTATGAAACCTAGACCTGGAATAGGGTCCTCCCCAGTTCCTAACTCTCCCAGATGTGCCACCCTGGACTTAGCCTCTGCACCCGGTGGTGACCCTGTCCTCTTCCTCCACCAGCAATTCAGTCCTCCATCAAGCCAAGTCCCTTCTCTGGAAACATCTACCACATCCTGGGCAAAGTGAAGTTTTCAGGTAACTGGGGGGTTAAATTTGGGAACCCTACATCATGAAGTGCTTACAGCTTGTGACAAGAGTTCATAGCCTCTGCTGGTATACTGTAGACCACTGATGCCTCTCCAAATCTCTAGCACCCTCTTCTGGGCCTCCTACCATCAGAGTGCTTTTCCCCAAGGACCCACTTTCCTTAGATTCTCTTGCACCACAGTGGAGTTTCACCCTCATCATCTAGGATCACCCCTGGATGACTTGCTCAGTCCTCTCCTCACAGTTCCTTGATTTCCTTGTTGTAAAGACTCACACCCCACCATGGCGTCCTCCTAGACATGTTACCAAGAGCTGCCCAAAGTTGATCTCTCTGGCTCCCAACCTGTGTATGACCAAAGTCTTTGAGCCTTCTAACTTGCCTTCTCCTTCCTTCTGTTTGGCAGGCCCGTTCTTCAGCCTTAGACCCCTGCCCTTGTGACCTCAAAGTCAAACCTGGAATGGGGGCCAGATAAGGTCTCAGAACTAGGAGTTGGGCCTGGTGCGGTGGTGCACACCTAGAATCCCAGCAGCTCTGGAGGCTGAGCCAGGAGGACCACAAGTTCAAAGCCAGCCTTAGTAAAAGCAAGTCGCTAAGCAACTCATTGAGACCCTGCTCTAAATAAAATATAAGATAGGGCTGGGGATGTGGCTTAGTGATCAAGTAACCCTGAGTTCAATCCCCAGTACCAAAAAAAAAAAAAAAAAAAAAAAAAAAAAAAACCTAGTAGTTGAGGAAGGGGAGAATATACCAGGTTAAAGGCACAGTATTTGCTGTAGCCTAGAGGCAAAAAAAAAAAAAAAAGGAGCATTTTAGGAACCAAAAGGGGTTTACTGTGGTTGGAGCCTGAGAGAAGGGAGTTGGGGAGGGTTTCTGCTAAAGTGCCTGTAGCTGTTATGACAGAAAAATCCCAACTCAAGCCAGGCATGATAACGCATGCCTGCATTTCCAGGTTCTTGGGAGGCTGAGGCAGGAGGAATGATCCTCAGCAACTTAGTGAGACCCCGTCTCAAAAAAAAAAATAAAACGTGTTGGAGATTTAGCTCAGTGTTAGAGCACTTGCGAAGCATATGCAAGGCTATGGGTTCAATCTTCAGTACCACAAAAAAAAAAAGAAAAGAAAAAGAAAAGCCCCAGCCCCCAACTCAACTAGCATTTGTTGGCTGTTTAGCAAGAAGTCAAGAGGCTGACTAGCAGAACAAAGCCACTGAGGCCAGGTAATGTGTGTCTGTGTGTTCATCCATTCTTGTAAGTACTGCACTAATCAGTTGTGCCCCCAGAGCTCCTCTTTCTCCATTTTAAAAATCTTATTTATTTATTTATTTATTTGTTTGTTTGTTTATTTTATATGTAGATGGATAGTCTGCCTTTATTTTATTTATTTATTTATTTATTTTCTAGAGAGAGAGAGAGAGAGAATTTTTAATATTTATTTTTTAGTTTTTGGCAGATACAACATCTTTGTTTGTATGTGGTGCTGAGGATCGAACCCGGGCCACATACAGCTTGAGCCACATCCCCAGCCCTTATTTATTTTTTAATATTTATTTTTTAGTTGTAGTTGGACACAGTACCTTTAATTGATTTATTTTTATGTGGTGCTGAGGATCAAACCCAGGGCCTCACATGTGCTAGGTGAGCGCTCTTTTACTGAGCCACAACCCTAGCCCTTTATTTATTTATTTTTATGTGGTACTGAGGATTGAACCTGGTGTTTCACATGCTCTAGGCAAGTGCTCTATCACTGAGCTTATAGTCCCATCCCCTCTTTCTTCTTTGCTTAACATGTCAACTTGTCCTAAGGTTCCTGGCCCTCATGGTTGCCAGGTAGTGCTACAGGCCTAGGTGTCAGCCAGATACTGTATCCAGCAAATAGAGGCTGGCTCTTCCTATGGTTATCCCTCTACCCCCACAGCAGTACAGGGGATCAACCCAGGGTCTCATATATACTCCATAAGCATTTTACTATTAAGCTACACCCCCAGCTATTTTTTTATTGAGATGAGATCTCATTAAGTTGCTGAGATTGGCCTTGAATTTGTGATCTTTCTGCCTCAACCTCCTGAGTAGCTGGGATTACAGGCATGCCCTACCATGCCCAGCTCCTGTGGATATCTTTGTCAATGCAGACATCTCTCCTCTTACTGTCTTTCAAGGGCTTCAGGTGAAGAGTCAGTCTTCTCTTCTTATCTAAAAACCTTTTTTCCTCTTATATTACCCTTCCTGATTAATAGTATCCATCTAATCACCCAAATCAACCATGCCTGAACTTTCTTTTGCTTCTTCCTCTCTTACTGCATCTTTTCTAACTTGACAGCAGTCACATCAGTTCTCCCTTCTGTACTTTCTTAGGAATCTGTTCCAACCATCTGCATTGTTAGTCTTAGTATAGCCTTATCCTTTCAGAGTAGCATCTCAGGGACAAACCTATATTCTCCTTGCAGACTCTGAAAGGACCATGGAGGTCTGCCACAACACTCTGGCCAACTCCCTGAGCATCGTGCCAGTTTTAGATGGACCCACACCACCTCCTGACTCAAGAAGTACACCTCAAGACAGCAATGGGCAACAAGAGTGCTACCTGGTGTTCATTGGCTGCTCCCTGAAGGAAGATAGTCTCAAGGACTGGCTACGGCAGTCAGCTAAGCAGGTGACTACCAAAGCGCAGATAGACCTGTCACAAATGTGCCCAGCACACACTTCAGGTTGCTAATGGCCCTGACAAGCCCCTCATCTACCTCCTCACTGGTCCAAACCCCCATGGGCTCAGCCAACACTTTTTAAAAATATATCTATTTATTTTTTAATTGTAGTTGGACACAATACCTTTATTTTACTTATTTTTATGTGGTGCTGAGGATCGAACCCAGGGACTCGAACGTACTAGGTGAGCACTCTACTATTGAGCCACAACCCCAGCCCTCAGCCAGCACTTCTAAAGACACTTTGAGAGTAGGAGGAAGTCCCTTGGGACAAACTCTAGGCAGACATAGTATGTCATCTGTTTTGAATCCAGGTTCTCTGCAGGCTTTGAATGCTAAACCTCTCAGCATAGCCTCAGAGGTTTGGCTAACCCTAGTATAGAGTTGGCTGAGGCTTGGGTCTTTTGTTGATGGTCAGTTGGGACCAGTCTTTATATTGAGGCTTAGCCCACCTAGGTAAACTCTTTTAAATGGTGCTTAACTGTGGGACTTGAACTGTGCCTTTGTCAGCACTTCTGTCATTGGTGGGGCTTAGGGATGAGAACCTGAAAAGAGGCAGGACCAGGCCCATTTGCTAAACTACTAGACTACCTGCTGTTTTTTTGCCCACTGCCTTGCAGGGATCTGGTGGGAAAGTAGGTCTCCTTTGGAGTTAGGTAGGCAGGATATTGTGCACAAGCTGGAACAGCTTATATGCTTTTCCCTCTGCTGAGAACTTCATTATGTAACTGATCCCCCAGAGCACTGAGACCTCACCATGCTCCATCAGTCCATCAGCTTGGTTATAGTTTGTCTCCTCCCTACATTTCTTCACAGAAGCCTCAGAGAAAAGCTCTGAAGACCAGGGGAATGCTGACTCAGCAGGAGATCAGGAACATCCATGTGAGTGTCCTGTGTTGACCTCCCCTATGGGCCCAAGGTGGTCCTCCTGGGTTTGCATAGCTCTTATCTTCTGGGTCTTTGAGTGAGGGGCTATTTGTAAGGCATGCTGGAAGTGTTGCTTCTCTCAGGCCACAGAACAAAGAAATCCAGCCTTGCATCCTTAGAGATGGGCAACCTCGGGCATGACCTTGGCATAAGATCAAGGAGATCCAGTTCTTGTGGGAGTAGTAGGTCATGGAGGACCTGGACTTGTCACCTTCTTCAAACATCTGCTTCTATTCAAGATGAACCTCAGAGAAACCAACTAGGGCCCAGAAAAAAAACTTTCTAGATCCAGTGCTGCTCGTGGGATGGTAATGGATTCCCTTGATGAGCCTTCCCCTGCAAAACTCCAAGCCGATCTCTGGCCTCTGCCCCAGGCCCTGTGGCTACTGGGGCCTTTTCTCCCAGGGATTTAGTGGGGAAATGTCAAAAGAAACAGAGAGTCTAGGCCCTAGGATGGGCTGTGTTACCAGTCTCAGTAATGAACTGGTAGATCAGGAGAGTTTTCTCCTGATCCTCATCTATGAGCAGGGGACCGGTATCAATCATGGCCTGAAGGTTGCTGGGGGAATAAATTCCCTGCTCACCTAACAGAAGAATAGACTATTTTACTGGGATAATGACCTGTTTGTTTTTAATGAATGATAGAAACTGGTCAGATAATTCTAACAGGATTCTTTTTTCCAACAGGTAAAGCGCCACCTGGACCCACTACCTGCAGGCTATTTTTACAATGGCACTCAGTTTGTTAACTTCTTTGGTGACAAGACCGATTTTCACCCACGTATCCTTAGGAGCAGCTCGATTTCTGAGTAGAAACTGAGGCAGTCTGGGAGATGCAATCCTGTCTGTAAAGCAGGTGTCTGCTAGGGCCAGCACAGCCAAACCCCTGGAGCAGTCAGGGTTCTGCAGTATCAGGGACTGGGGAAATAGGAGCAAACTAAAGGATTACACTTTTCATTTTGACCTTTTAAAGCTGTCAAAATTGGATTTGTCAGCTGGATGCTCTGGCATGAGTCTGTAGTATCAGCTACTTAGGAGACTGAGGGGTGGGAGGATTACCTGAGACCAGGCTGGGCAGTATATAGAGACCCTGTCTCAAAGGGGAACAACAACAATAATAACAAAAGTTTAATTTGTCCTTTATTGAGTGATTTTTCAAGTTACCCTATGGGGTATAGTTTGAATGGAGCTGTAGTGACACCCTGAGTTTTGTAGTCACACAGTCATGATTTATAAGTTGTAAACAGCCTGATAATAATAGTTAGTCTCTGAAAGATAAGCAGAGTAAACTGTGAGACTGGGGATCCACTGTATGCTAATGAAGCTGCATTCTGGGATCTCATAAAGGCCCTGTGCCAATACCTGTCACGATTTTTGTAGGTGTGATGCTTCCTGTCAGTTACCTCAGTGTCCCCTTCCTCACCTGCTTCCTTGGGGCCAGAAAGGTTTCCATATCCTCCAGGCTCAGGGCTCTCTTCCTTAACTAGTTACCAGTCATGGACCAGTTCATGAATGACTATGTAGAAGAAGCAAACCGGGAAATTGAGAGGTACAACCGGGAGCTGGAGCAGCAGGAGTACCATGACCTCTTTGAGCAGAAGTCCTAGAGGAAGTTGGGTCCATATACCCACCAGAGATGGACAAATGGGGTGTCTAACCCCAGCTCTCCCAGGCACCCTCCTGGAGGGGCTGTCTTTGTCCTCCTTGACTTTTGCGTGCTGCTGGAGTACATGTTGTCATTTTTCTCTCTACAGCGCTGAAAGGCATCACCTGCACCACTGATTGGGGGGTGGGGGTGGGGATCCTCAAGGATGAGCAGACAGGACTGCCCATTGTGTGCAGCTGTCAGTCCAGGCCCTCTGGGTCTCTGGTAACAGTAGATTTTTTGAGCTGCTGAGGTACCATGTGAAGGGAGAAGCATTTGCATTGCACAAAGGAACTGCCAGGACTCAGAAGGAACCCTGGCTGCCCCATCATGGCAGTGCCTGGGGAATAAGACCACTCCAGGCCTCAGGCCTCAGATACTACCCCAGGACCCTCATCCCCAATGGGGCTTGCTGCTTCTGCTTAGGGCCTTTCATTAAAGGATCTGGCCCTATTGGCCCTAGGTCTGGTCTGTGGGGGAGCAGCACAAGCCCTGCCCAAGCCAACCCATAGAGCCAGCTAAGATCCACAGCATGTTCGAAAATGAGGGGATTTCCCTTGTGGACTAAACTGAGAAAAAGGCATGTTTTCTAGAAGTGTGTGGCTCTTCAGTTGACATCAGCAGTCCCCTTGTGATTCACTCTGAGCTCTCCTGAGGTATCACTTGTGTCCCAAATTCAGGGACAAGACCAAACATGTGGCCCAAGGCCTATTGACACTGGTTTTCTATCAAGGGGAGCATCCTGCAAGTAGTTAGTCTTAGGCTCAGGGAAGGTCTGCTTTTCAAACACAAACTTCAGAAAATTCATGCCCTCACCCCCCAACCATTGTTTCTTAACCCTGGGTTTTCTTGGCTCCAATGGATCAGAAATGTCAAAAGAATTCTAATATGCAAGTTAGAATTCCTTCCAGTGGCTTTGTTTTCAGATGGACCATAAAGCAAAGGGGAATTAAATTGTGTTCATGTCTGACCTTCATAGTTAGTGTGGAGATCACAGGCACTGATATTTAGGTGATATCTATTAGGATTTCAGCACCTCAGCTGCCTAGGTTGTAAATGTTTTCTGAATTTCATGTTCTTTTGCATGCCTTAGAAAGAAGCACATAGGTGAAACCAGCATAGTTTCCTGTAATGTAGAGGGGGTTTTGGGAAAGACCCTTGTTGCAGAGGATGGAGCCAGGATGGAGCACATGGAGTCTGTGTGCATAGTCACACAGCATCCTGCAATGCAAGTAACAAAGCAGTTATCAAGGGCTCGTCAGTAAAATATACGTGTATTTGAGAAAAACAATTTATGCTTGAAATCAAATGAATAAAATTACAAATACCATTGAATGAGAAATCTTGCATTAAGAAAGGCTCCTGAAATTCAGATCCATGTGCTTCAGTCCTAGCTCCAAAAGCCACTGGTGACAAGGGCTTCTCTGTGGAGCCCAAGTCTGGGAGCCCTGACTTCTGGCTGGCCAGAGTTCAGGGCCACAAATGGCCTGCCTCTGCTTCAAAATCAATAACATAGATCTTAAGTGCAATTGATTAATAAGCAATGAGTTACTGTAGCTTCCTTTAGCTCTACCGAGCTCTTTTTAAAAACTCAAACTTGAGCAGCCTTAGAAAAGGGAAGGGGGTGGGGGGGGACACAGGCCATTTCATTTCCTCCAGGGGGTTGCTGTGAAGTTTTCAGTAGAAGCTCTAGATGTAGGAGCATGAGCCATTTCCTGGCTGCCCTGGCCTGGCAGTCTGGCTGCTGCACAAGAGTTTTTAAAGGGGGGTCGGAGCCCACCCATGAAAGTGGGCCTCCCACCACGTGGGGCTACACTACATGGTGATCTTGATTTCTGACCATTGTCCATAGAAATGCTCTCTCACCAACCTGCCCCACTGTCCCCACTCCTCTCTTTGTAGAGGAAAAACTGTGATTACCTCAACATGAATACGAAACTGTGATTGAAAAAAGGCAAAATGTTAAGAAGTATCAAAGCCAAAATGGCAAAACTGGCTGAGGCCTATACAGACACTCCCCAGCCTGCTCGGGAGTGTGAAAGGGCACCGTGGTGAAAGGGCATTCCTGGGCACACTTGCTGTGCTCCTGGTGAAGGGCACAGTAGCAGCACACTGTGAGCTCTTTGAGGACTGGGGCTGGGAGCATGCAAGCCTCTCTCGTTCTGACTGTAGAGTTTAATATCCACTTTATCCTGTGGGTCAGGGAGCAGGGTCGTAGGCTGTTTCCAGAGAAAAGGCCATGACACTGTGTTTTTATCTTAGAAGTGGATACCAGGGACCCAGCAAAGATAGGGGGTTCATTTCCCAGGGACAGGCAGAAGTCCTCCAGGGGCTTACATGCTTTTTGCCAACTTTCCTGTTAGCAGCTTCAGTTTTATATCACCAGAGTGAGTGGAATAATGGTGAAATCACTGAAGTTATGGTTTATTTTCCTTTTTTTGGGGGGGGGGGCATTTCTCTTTCTCTCTAATTGAAAGGAGGAGGCAGAAATTGGAGAAGATGGATCACCCTAGGAGGGGGCAACAGGCAAGAAGTTTAGTTTGCCCTGCTGATCCCTGAGGCTCTCGGATCTGAAGCCTGGACACTGGCCCTTCAGGTGTGATACAAAGTTCCCTCCTAAATTCTATTAGGATTTTGGAGAATTTTTGCACAGTAATAAGCTCTGGGTTGCTCTTTGGGCTTCTCAAAAGGGAAAAGTTCAACTCAAAAGATTGTAAACTATGAAGTATTCCAGCCATGTTGCTGACTAGTTGGATAGATGTACCTCAAAAAGTAGGTGAGAAATGGCTTTCTCAGTGTCCACTAATGACATAAGAGCTCACTTACGTGCCAAAATTCACTTTTATACTAGTTTTTCAGTGCTTTAATATTTGTAACTTAAATTTTAAAACTCATATTTACAAACACTACTGTAACTTCAGTGAAACTGAATTGTGTGATTGAAGCTTTTTGCTTATTATAATATTTATTACACTACTTAATTCAGTAAATATATAAAGTAGTCTTCAATTTATTTTTATATTATTTTACATGTTTTTACCTGCAATTGTGTATGTGAATTTACCTTGGTAATTAAGATGTAATGCTAAAGACCAATAAACTATCATTGAACAAGCAAGGCTTCCCATTATTGCCTAGCATGTAGACTATCTCGAGGTGTCCCTGGGATAATATGGAGAAGGGACACCTCTAGGGCCTGGGGACTTTCCATCAGCCTGGCTGGGACTCCTCTTTGCTGGGGGGCTCACTTTTCTCTCTTCAGTCCTCAGATACTCATGGAGGACAGAATTCATACAAAGAAACCACCCTGGTTTGTAGGGTGGGCATTTGGAGAACCCCAAAAGCTGGATAGGGGCTCAGGAAAACCTACTGAGCCCAGAGAAAGCCTTCTCACCTCTGCCTGATAATGCCTCACCTTCCATTTTTTAGTGGTTATTTTTTTGGTTTTTTCCTTTCTTTTGGGGGGTGCTGGGGATGGAACCCAGGGCCTCACATATGCTAGACAAGAGCTGTATCACTGAGCTGCACCCCCCAACCCCTTGCCCTGTCTTTGCCCCAGCTCTGGGTAGAGCCCCAGCTCTGGCAGGGCTGTGTGGACTCATTTCTGCTCAGTAAAAGCTCTGTGAGGTGGCCCCTTGGTTCCACTTAAATGTGGTGGCTAAGGCACAAATGGGTCCACTAACTAGCACAGGTGGCAGAGCCTCTGTTCTTGCCCATGTTGAGTCAGAGAGCCCTTGCAGTGCTTAGATCTGAAGCAGAGTCTTGGAATCTCAAGTTCTCAGAAGTTGGCTGAAGCCCTCAGAGCATTAGCAGAAGAAATACAAATGCAGGAACTGTTTGAGGGCATCCCAGGTTCCTCTCACCAGGCATCCACTGCAGGTGGTTCAGACCTCCCTCGGTTTACCCCCCACCCCCACAGGATCCAATGCCTGTGGGGGAAAGGGCTGATCTGGGAGGACACCCACCCCAGGCAGCCTAGTCCATAAAGAGCCTGTTTCCTGTCATACACATGCTGGCCCAGGGCAAGGGGAAGTGCCCCATGGACAGATTTGGTTGCTGGCCCAAAGAGGAAGGTGCAGCCTCCACGGGTGTCTTCCTGAAACAGTTGGGATGATGGTAGAAGTTATCTGAGATCAGTTAGACATGTACAAATCAAATGCAATACTGCACGGGAGGGGTCTGATAGAGAAGGTCTGTGACAGCACCATCACCCTCCCCAAATCCCTTTCCCCTAGAGCCTCCTGCCTCCCATTCTGCAGAATGCAGGCTTGAGCTCCTGTGCTTTCACTTCTGCCCAACCTCCAGGGCCTGGAAATTAACCTTAAGAATTGCCAGGGAATTGTCAGGGGAGATGCTAAATGTCCAAGGGCTTCCTGGCCTGGGTCATCTTTGAGAGTCAGGGAAACTTTTGAGTGTCAGAAAAGGGATAGTGAAGGGGGGGGCCCTTCAGTGGGGACAGAGGACAACTGAAACGTGAGGGCTGTTTGACAGTAGAATGGAGACCCAGAAGCCGGAATCCTGGTGGTACAGACTTGTGTGATTTAGAGCAGAATTTCATGTGGAGCAGTTGATAATTGACAGGGCTCTCTGAAGAGCACAGAGAAATAGTGATATACTAATTTCTATCACACACTCTAGGGGACAATCAGGCCCAGACAAAACATAACCATATGCCCTACTTCCAGTCCATGACAAAAAGGAATAACTTGATTACCACTAACAGAGTCCAAAATAAAACCAGCTTCAAGTTCATCTGGACCTGAGAGCTCAGATGGTATCAGGGTCCTCACTTCATCCTTGGTGGCCTCACTCTCCCCTATCAATGGCATCTTCTGTGTCATCAATAGCCTCAACACTCCAGAGGCAAGACCCCTCCTCCAGAGGCATTCACAAAGTCTGGGGTCCTATTCCCAACCCTGATCCCTCCCAATGCACAGGAAAAATGGAATAGTCTAGTTAGGCATGATGGTGTATACCTGTAATTTCAGCAACTCTGGAGGCTGAGGCAGAAGGACTACAAGTTTGAGGCTAGCTCAGCAACTAGCAAGACTGTCTCCAAATAAAAAGGGCTAAGGTAATTGAATCCCTTGGATTCAATTCCCCAGTATCAAAAATAAATAAATAAAATTAAAAATGGAAAATTTTGTGGGTGAGATACTGGGGATGAAACTCAGGGGCACTCCACTGCTAAGCTATACCCCAGTTCTTTTTCTTTGTTTATTCTGTGGTACTGGAGAGTGAACCCAGGGGTATTCTATCATCAAGCTTCATCCTCAGCCCTTTTAAAAAATTTCTTGCCTGGCATGGTGGTACATGCTTGTAATCCAGTGATCAAGAAAGCTGAGGCAGGAGGATTGCCAGCCTCAGCAATTTTGTGAGACCCTGTCTCAAAAAGTGCTGGGGATATAGCTCAGTGGTAAAGTGCTCTTGGTTCAATCCCCAGGACCAAAAAAAAGTAACCCCCTCAAAAAACAAAATTGGGGCTGGGGTTGTGGCTCAGAGGTAGAACACTCGCCTAGCATACATGAGGCACTGGGTTTGATCCTCAGCACTGTTAGGCTCGAATTTGGGACCCCCAAAGACCACCAGAGACCAAGATCAATGTAAGCAGCAAAGAGGTATTTATTGCGAGCTAGCTCAGATGCTGAGGTCCTGAGCCCAGCGTTTGCAGCAGTTTTATACAGATGCTATGATGTATGGGAAGGCAGGGACTTCACATACATCATAGCATCTCTTAGCAAATCATCACACACTGCGGGAAAATCATAAAACAACTCTAAAACATGATTAGCACATTCACTGGCGGGAACAAGTTGGGTAAGGGTGATTGATTAGTACAAGAGGGGGATTCATTTGACCTGATTGGTTTAAGCCTCGAGGAGAGTGTGAGCTGAACTACATGGTTTCCCAACAAGTTATCAAGCGCCATAAACTACTGGGGGAGTCATTTGGCATCCCAGGTATTTTCCCTGTCTCAGGCTGATTGATAGTTGCTAGGGGGTTGCTATGGGTCCTCACCTAGCCTGACTGAGTCAGGGATACCTGGTGCAGCAGATCTCTCCTGTTATTTGTAGATAAACAACTCAGCAGGGTGGGTATGTGCCTAGGAGTGCTCTGTGGGTCTTTCCAAGCACTACAAAAATATAAAATATCGTATTCACTTATAACTAAAAAATAAATATTTTTTTAAATTTTTTTTTTTAGTTTTCAATGGACCTTTATTTATTTTTTGATACATGGTGCTGAGATTCGAACCCAGTGCCTCACACATGCTAGGCAAGCACTCTGCCACTGAGCCACCACTCCAGCCCAAATAAATATATTTTTAAAAAATTAAATTTTGAGGCAAGATCTCACTAAGTTGCCTAGGCTGGTCTCAAACATTGGATCCTCCTACTTCAGCCTCCTGAGTAGCTGAGATTACAAGCATGGGCCACCATGCCTAATATGAGCTTTCTTTTACTTAATAAAAAGATTTTCAAGCCTGGGCATGTTGGTGCACACCTATAATCCCAGCAGCTGGGGAATACAGGAAAGAGGAAACTTGAATTCAAAGCCAGCCTCAGGGCTGGGGTTGTGGCTCAGTAGTAGAGCGCTTGCCTAGCATGTGTGAAGCACTGGGTTCCATTTTCAGCACCACATAAAAAAATAAAGTTTAAAAAAAGCTGGGCTGGGGATGTGGCTCAAGCGGTAACGCGTTCGCCTGGCATGCGCGGGGCGCTGGGTTCAATCCTCACTACCACATAAAAATAAAATAAAGATGTTGTGTTCACTGAAAACTGAAAAATAAATATTAAAAAATTCTATTAAAAAAAAAAAGCCAGCCTCAGCAAAAATGAGGAGCTAAGCAACTCAGTGAGACCCTTTTTCTAAATAAAATACAAAATAGGGCTGGGGATGTGGCTCAGTGATCTAGTGCCCTGAGTTCAATCCCTGGTACCCACTGAGGAAAAAAAAAAAAAAAGATTTTCTTCCTGAGGCAGGAAGATCAGAATGATTATGTGGCCAACCTTGGAAACTTAGATAGAGCCTTTCTCAAAATAAAAAATAAAAGGGCTGCACATGTTGTTTAGTGGTAGTAACCAGGTACCCTCCTGGTTTCAATTCCCAGTATCATAATAAATAAATAAATCAGTAGAAAAGAAGAAAAGTCATGTAGACTAATGCAGGGGATGGGCTACTGCTCAGCGATGAAGGTGGTAAGTGTTAGACCAGGACGCAAGAAAAGACCACTGACTCCAATTAAAATCAAATTAAAGCAAGCTTATTATTTCGACCCGCCGGGCCGCCTCTCCCTCCCAAAACGGCAGGAACAAGACAGCCCCCCACCTTTCCTACAGCCCAGCTTTATAGCCCAGAAAGTTACACAAAAGGGGTGTTACAGATAACAGGACTCTGACAAGCATCACACTAATGGTAGTTTACACATTTTTTTTTTTTTTTGCTGGCCCCAACATCAGAATTTATGAGGACCATTAGAGCCTCAGAGAGGATGGCCAGGGAAGGCCAATATTTATGAGGTGTCACAAAAGTTTCAGAGAGGGTTGCTATCTGGTCAGAGAGCCAGGCATGGGTGAGTTCAAGACACGGGCAGGCATTTCAAGCAGGTTCAGAATTTGCAGTAATTTATAGTAAAGCCGAAATTATCTTTTCATGGCTTTGTGGCAAGATGGCTCCCAATTTTAATAAAAGATCAGGTTGGGTCTATCAGTAAGAAGAGGACCAACCAGGGAGCCATTTTTAAGGAACAAGTGCCAAGACAAAGTGACTAAGTAGACAAGAACCAAGGAGATGACCCGGAGGTAAAAGTGGAAAAAGCCCAAGTGGAAAAAAACTCAATGATTTGAAACAATTCCAAAAACTTTTTGTTTCATTCTCTAAAAATTTGAAGAAAAATAAATTTGTTTATCCACAAATTATTCCTTTTTTTCTCAGGCCTCTGCACTGCAAAACTGGTCAGCTAAAATTTACATGAGAGTAAATTTTATGTCAAGGTAATAAATAACTACAAATCTGAACACACACAAAGAATTAATAATCAAATACAGTATGAATATATTTCTACTTTATTCTACAATGACTACTGCTTTTCCTGCACCAATAAAGAAGTTTAATTTT